ACCAGGAGTTAGTTTAGAGTCCTCGGGACTGGAAAATATCCCCCAAGTTCCGGGAAATCCAGCCAAAATTGGTCAAAATCACGATGCGCGTAAGGCGGTCTCGGTTACTCTTTCAGTCTCAAAATGAAGTGGGGCTATATTTCGGCCTAAAAGCTCGAAACCGAGCGTACGATCTTTTTACCTGTGTCCTTTTCTCTGCAAACCAAGGCCATCAGGGGTTAGTTTAGAGTTGTCAGGACTGGAAAATATCCCCCAATTTCAGGGAAATCGAGCCAAAGTCGGTCAAAATCACGATGCCCGTAAGGCGGTCTCGGCTACTCCGTTGCTGTAGTTAGATAACGAGGAAACAAACAAAACTGTAACTCTCATGTGTTGCACTCAGTTTTATTCAAATTTAAATTGAACATATTTCTAGCCTTCAACACGCAATTATTTCCACAAGAGGCGGCTACCTTAGTTTGTACGTTTACACCCAGTATTCCAACAGTGAACCATTCATTGTTTCCACGGAAACAATTTGTCCGTCATCATCGAAATGGGTCAGGTGAATAGCTTCTTCGTGGACGACGTCATATTCGGGGCCACTTGCCTTCTTCAAGGGAGCAAACACGCAGGTTTTCGCGGTAGCAGCTTCTGACCTTGATGGTGCAGATGTCAAGTTCAAATCAGCTTCTAACGAGCCGCTGAATCCTATAAGGACGAGAATGGCACAGCGAGTTTTATTGCTGAATAAAACGTTTAATTATCGAAGGTAACAAAAACTTTATAGACCCGTTATAAGGTCTAACTAAATGATATTAAGAAAAGTAGGTGCCCAAGACCCTAAGAGCCAATTCTTCAACTAGTGAACCCCAGTCGAACTTAAAATACAATTCAGGGCGATTGTGGGGACCTCAAATAAAAGTGAAAAACAAAAACAAAATAAGAAGCATTTCGTTTATATTACAAAATTTTCCATTGTTAAACTGCTGGCAATCAGTCTTTCCTCTTAGCTAGGGTCACTTACATGAGTTTTTAGCCCTCGATCGGGAACACAAAAGGGTGGTATGGCCGGGTAGGGACCGGAATTGAATCAGGCGTGCCGCGCAAATGTCTCGTCCCATTCCCTTTTAGGCTAACACACATTTAACTTCTGCAGTAATAGCAATGGAACTGGGTCGTACTGCCAAATTCAGTGTTGTATATATTTGCCGAGATCAGGTATCGATAAATCAGTTCCCAGCCGTTCAAACACAACCATCTGCCGACTCAAGCCAGTCAAAAACAGGGGAGAGGAGAAATCGAGGAAGTAAAAGATGAATCTCGCCCAGTCCATCACGGTTAGGCTACCTGATAGCTCCCCTGTAAAATCACTAACTTTACTGTGAATGGGGATCCTTCTCAAGTTGGGCCTCTCATAACGCGCTGAAAGTTGTTCCACAGCGGAGGAGGGAGGGAAAATGGTACCATAGCAACTGTCTGTTCCTCTGTTCACTCCCGGAGAGAACGGGATGTTAAATTCACCATTGTTGTTAATATCAGGTAGGTCTTCTATTCTCACTGTTTTCCATGGATACATTCGTACCTTGTTCTGAAAGGAAAAGACGTCTACGATCAATAGAAAAGCAGAAAAATTGACGTTAGCTTGATAATATCACGATTAATTGATTGACCCTGTTTGTGATTACCTAGACGATGAACATCAAATTTCTCCTCCAAATATCATAACATTTTGATCACGCTAGATGACGATAACAAGAACTTTTTTCATTAGTTGTTTAGGCGATCGACGTACCAAAAGTGAAAAGAAAAAATCGACTGCTTCACTTTTAAAAAAGCGCCCGACCTTCACCCGAAAGGCCACTCCCTCAGTAGCTGAACAGACCCCCTGGATAACCCTGTCTAATTTCAGGCTAGAGGTATACAAATGGTTTATGTGGAAAAAGGATATACTTTATTACCTACTGTAGGCATGTACATGGGTCGTATTTCTACAAAACTGGGTATAAGAATGGGCTACCTCTTCTATTAAAAATTACATAATATAAAAGGTAAGGATTTCGAGCTCGTGACGGAGCCTCCCCCGCCGTATAAAACTTGGTTAGCCTCCCCCTCAACTTTTCAGGACTACAAGCGTATCAAATCTGACAAAATACACAATTAAGGATATATACCGAGTAAATGAGAAACCTCGGTCAGCTGAAGAACAATCGGTAAAAATTTCAAGGTAAAAGTGAGGCGGATGCTTGTTGAAAATTGTGATAGGAAAATCTAATCACGCTACTTAATTTCGGTTTTTTTTTAATTAGTTCAATTTTGTTCAGAAAATTTGCTACTTTTTGAATTTGCAACCTACGAGGATATTAGATTCAAAACTTGGACAAATTGAAATGAAGCACGCTACACGATACTAGAACATCAATTTTAACCTCTAAAAGGAAGGACCACGATCCATGTGAATGACATATAGCTCACCCGCGGAATATTAAATTCAGTGAAGATGTGGGATAGATATCAAACGCTTTCTCACCTTAGTTTGCTTGTAAGTCTTCAAAGCACAACCACCGTCAAAATCATCAATAATTTTTCTCCGCTTTCGTTCATCTTCCATGTCCAATCTCCGTTCTCTAAGACTCTGCCAGTGATAAACGCACACAACACACGACAGAAAAACTGCAAGAAGACAAACTGGCAGCAACACACCAAGCGTACTACCAGAGAGACTCGCTGAAGCCATCGATGATTTGACTTCTAACTTTGTTGGCGGGGTCGACCGGCTTGAGTCCATTCCATTCGAGACTTCGTTAGTTTTAGAATGCATGTGTGTAAATGTGGCCAGTGGTGTAGAATTTAGCAACAATTCAGGAGCGCAAATTGAGCCTGTTCGGTTCTGAGGCATTGAAGATGACTTCAGTGCCTAATTTCAACTGCTGAGATACGCCATGAGTTAACAAGCAACAGCACTTATATTATAACAAAGGAACTCAACGTAACGAGTCTTATTAGAGAGGTTAAGCATGACGTTTACGGCAAACGGCAAACGGCAAACGGCAGAAATGAAACCTTTGTCGTCTCTCTTCAGCTGTGTGTACAGTAGAGTGAAATTATTTGTATTTACAATGAATAGTAAGAGACGTTATTCCATTTTTGTGTGCGTTATGTACGGATTAGAAGAAAAGAACTCAAAATCAGACGTTATCTTTGCCGTTTGCCGTCTGCCGTTAACGTCATGGTTAACCTCTCTATTAACAATACTCAAAAATGCTTACGTGCACGCTTATTGCACAGAATTTCAACTATCCTATACAAAACGTCTTTATGTTGTCCTTTTAAACCCGTAAGAATGCATACGGAATTGTTTTCAGAACAGTATGCAAGATTATTCATAAGAAAAGCATGAAAAAATGACACTGAAAACAATTCAAGCTAAATTGATCTGAAATATGAAGGGCGATTTCAAGTTCAAGTTCACGTGTGGTCTGAAACTAGCTCCATCGCAGTAAACCTCAGTAATAAGGCACAAACACTTGCTTTTGCCATCGCGTTCTCTAAAAGATAATCTTTGCGTTTTATATAATCAAAGACCCCGTCCACACTAGGCAGGGAAAATTTGAAAACACATCTTTATTTCTACGGTTACGCCTAATCGTCCACGCTAATCCGTCACGAAAACGGAACTTTTCGAAAACGTTCTTCGAACCGGAGGAATTTGAAAACGCCGGCTTTGCGTTTTAGTATGGACGAAAACGTTTTGAAAACGGAATTTCTCGAAAACGATGACGTTACGATAATCACGTGATGTCCCTGCCCGAGTCTCCCTCAAACACAAATCCAAAATGACCGGTGATTGTTGCGTGTTCAAATTTCGTCAGCGTAGTGTGGTGAGGAAACATTTGATGCAATTTCAGAGTGAAAACGCCCTTCTCAAATTTCACCGGCGTAGTGTGGACCGAACCTAAACTGGAGGGGTTAAGACTAGGTGCCAGTTGTCGGGGATTCCTTGAAGGGAGGTGTGCTCTCGAGAACACTCTTACTAAGTATTCTCCTTGGAGCAAATCACGTTAATTAATTTATATTTTACAAAAAAGGAATTGAATGACGAAAAGGAAACTGGAGGGAATAAATATCAAACTCGAGAGAAAAACCGTGACGTAAATCGCGAACGATTTATACTTTGTGGGTGATTTGCTGACCTGTAGAACATAACATTAACTAGACTGCGAGCAGTCACTTTGCCTAGCGTGCAACGAACAAGACAAACTAAACGACTGCGAAGTAAAAGACGAACGATCGAGCGGCGAATTTTAACTTTCCCAATCGCGCAGAGGATTTCAGGAACAAAAACAGACTGCTCGTAATCTAAAATATTACCAACAAATAGTGGCGCGAAAAAATGATCAACAATTTGAAGCCGATACTTATCGTGCACTTAAAGACGAAATGAAAAAAAGAAACTATACGCGCGCAAAGCCAATCACAAACTAACCACATGGCTTCTTTAAAAACGTGAAAATCGTAACAGTATAGTATGCAGAAGTTTTTCTTCACATGCGAAAAGTCGTCAATGAAGATTCATCTAAGTTTTGTTTACAAAAAGCCGACACGAAACACTTCTTAGAGTAAATGACACAGACGGTAGTTAACCATGTACGATTGTCAATAATATGTAATCATAAATTTTCACCTTGGGTGCTGCAAATGTCTTCCAAATAAACCATGAAAAACAGTAGTAACCAAAAAGCTACATACATAATTGAATATCTAGTTTATAAAGTGATTCAGATGCTTAAACCTACGATATGTAACCAATTACGCCACCTGCGTTTTTTTCCTTCAAAAAAGCATTTCATCTTCCTACTTCTCTTCTATAAATGGCACACTACTTTACATCTATGTACATTATTTTATAATCTCAGAATGGGCGAATTATTTGTTATTCTCTAGGTTTATAAAATGTGTCCATGTTCCTAGAGATATGCGTTAACCGGGGGCCGTAGTAATCAATGATATACGCAGAGCCATCTGCGGGACCAACAACCTGTACAAGAGATCAGATAGAAAAATGCGTAAGATGATTGTTACTTTTCGCAGTTTTAGGTAAGGTAAGCTAAAGACTGCATTCGAGTCTAGTGGCCCATCAGGCTCGCGTTTATCTCTTTTTCCGAGGCATAAAGTGACTAGGAGTATTTCTACCCTCCCCTGAATGGGATTCTAGTTCACTGAAGGGCTACCCCCTAGCATTAAATTCCCCCCTACCTATTTATAAACCAGGTTGGAAACTGTGAGAATAAAATGTTTTACCCAAAAACACAATTGCAACACAGTGATTCAAGCAATGGAGTTGCAATGTGCTATCAAATAAATACGCTTGCTTAGTCTTTGAGCAGGAGCAAGAAAATGAATAGCTCAAAGTTCGTGCAGGTAGGTACCATTCAGGGTTGGCAAATGGTTGTTCAAAACAATACAGTTTCACAAAATTTAAATCCAATTTCAGGAGTCTTGTCCTATCAGTTGTTTTTCTGAATGCTTTCTTGGGATCTTGATTTCTTTTGTTAGGGGTAAGAGAGTTAAGTTTTACCATCTTGCAAATGACAACAAGATAACTTAATACATACCACAGTGTATTACATATTCTGTGTTATTGTGCAATTAGATAATGATAAGAGACATTAAGTACAGTGTATTATGTACAACTAAATTTCACCTGTGTTGCAATCAATATAACATCTACTAATTGAAAAATGAAGAAGAATCCCAGAGTACAAAACTTTAGTAGTCCTGTAGGGAAAAACAAAAACAATAAAAAATCACTTAAGATCTATTCAGCTGAAATGATAAAAAAGAAAATAAATTTATTAACTATGATTTGATTATCATTTATCCTTATTACTAAGCCCTAATTCTGAAGAGTGACAAGCATCATAATTCACCTTATAATGAGCGCTTTCACTTCTAATTTATTAAAACTATGGTGTAATGGCACTCATAGACAATAACGATATGAAGAATGCTTATCATATTAGGGTGTACCTATTACAAGGAGCTCTCATGTGCATCCAAAACTCAACAGATGCACAAATTTTCTATAAATTTATACTGAGTAGAAGCTAAGATAAGGGACATGCAGCCAGACATTCACATATTTGAAAAACAAGAGCAAACGCATGCTAAAAATACAATACAATATGTCGTTGTTGACCAACCTATGGCAGGGTATCCCAAATAAAATCTGTCAATTCCAAACATTCCGAGGAATACTGATAGTGAGAGAGCTGTTTTATATGAGTGACCATTTCTGTGGATGAAAAAATGTCATGTAATTTGAGTTACATGTAACAATGAAATGACACATGTAATAATATTATAAACTTTACATTACAGAAATTACTAGATTGTAGCATCTCAAACTACATTGGAAAAAAATTATGTTAACTAATGCTGTGTTTAGACTTAAACGGTTTACCGAGGTACCAGAGTTTACTTACCTAGGTACACATTTTCTGTGTGTAAACGCCAACTGATACTTTGGTAAATGCCGCAAAAGACAAAAGAAATTTAACTGAGGTAAAAGTTGTAATTACCCTGTGATCAAGCATGGTTACAGTTGGTAACCAAGGTCAAGATGACAAATATATCCGCTTGTGGCGGCGTAATATTTCACTTCCCGCGGTGAGCAGATTGTGCGATTGTCGACAAAGCAAAGCATTTGTTTTCCAGTTTTGACTAGGCTGTCATGGCAGATAACGTGGAAAGATTGGATCCTTCTTCTTACGGCGAACAATCCGTCATGTGAAAGAAAGCATTGTATTTTTCATTCTCAGTATTATTTACAACTTTCTCTAGACAAACTTCGATCCTTTTTTGTGTAATTATTGTCAATATATTTTGCCACCAGG